TTTTTTTCATCGACGTGTTTACAAGGCAGCTAGGGTGGCTAAGCGCTAGGGTTACCCTAGCTGCCTTGTAAACGCTCTGCTGGGGATAACTCGCCTACCCGGGACAACTTTTTACTTGTTTCCAGAACCTTTGAACATTGATAACAATGCGTGCGGTTACCAAGCATAGTTAAGTTGTTCCGGGTGGTAGGGTAACCCAACCTGTGAAATTTTGCTTGTAAACCCGGGCTATCTTTGACCCACCTGCTAGGGTAACCCTAGCACAAGGGTTACCCTCCTTGCTTGTAAACAGGGCCTAAAAGGACGCTTTTCAATTTTCTACATGTGTCGGATTAAAAAGGAAAAACCATTACGTTGCTGGTAACAGCATGCGGCGTGACACCAACTTTTTAACAATAAATTCCAAATTCAGCAATAATGAATTCAATAATGCTGCCGGGTTTTGTACACTTGTCGGAGAAGCATCACATTTAGTCTAGCGATTACATCATGATGGAAGTTCTCCGAGAAGAGTTTGAGCCTTAAAGTACACTGCCGTGGGGAACTTAAGGAGGTCACTTTGTCAAAGTTGCTGTCTATCAACCATAAAAGAACAAGACTAGACATTTCTACGACAAGGCTTAATGAAACAAGGTGTGCCTGATAAGTTAAAATCTCAAATTTGAAGAAGCTCTTTGAAGTCAGACACCTCTGCTGGCTGGGTTTATTTCTTCGAAGTAAATTAAAAGGGAACAAATTTACAGACTGTTCTTGTGCTAAACGTTGTTTTCACCTTTACTCCAACTCGTCCATACCCCGCACAGTCCAAAGCTGGTTCAACGGACAAACCACAGATAACTTGTGTTGCCATAGCGATAAAGTCGTGATCAAGAGTCTTGGATACAAAAGGAAAGGAGCGGGAGACACGAAGATTACATTCGATCACTTTCAGTTCATTATCCTGTAAATCGAAAAAAAAACTCACTTAAGACTTCAACTCTTCGGAATTATAAGGTCAAGAAGAGGAAGATTATTATTATCTGTAGCAAAATTTCCAATTCTACATTCACAAGAATAACCTGGAAAGTAACCTATGGTCATCAGTTCAAGGAATTTGTTTTCAGATGTTAAGAGCAAGACAGGTAACAAGACAGGTAGCAAGACATTTAAGTTTTCACTTAAAAAGGTACCTTTCTTTTATCATTGAGGAAATAGTGGGGTTAATTTTAAGACAAAATAAAATAGATTTTAATTTACATCGCGTTTGTTCGGTGACAGGTCACATGTGATGTAAAAATCGGTGAGAAATATCAGTGAAACACTGGCGCGCAGCTCAGGTGCCACTCTCTTTCTTCACTCTGACGTCATCTGTATTCTACTACTGAACAGACATTCGTCAAAATAAAGTGTTTTATTAAAAGCCAGGATTACATTGTACATACAGTTGACAAACCTTAGCAATCAGCTGCATGTTAAATGGCCCAGTAACCATCAAGGCTTGCCCAATATCAAAGCAGATCTTTCGTATCTTCTTGAGTGTCTCTTCATTCAGATCTTGTGGAGGTAAAACCATTGTGGCATCACCAGAATGGACTCCAGCATTCTCCACATGTTCAGATACAGCCATACTGACCACCTCTCCGTCACTGGCCACTGCATCAACATCTATCTCCTGCAGATCAATAGATGGGGTTAGTTTCCAAAGAAACTGTGGTTTTGCATCAGAAGAAGATATAGGGAGATAATTTAGTATTATCAGCTGGGTTGATAATGTGAATTGCCCATTTCCGAATTGCCCTTGGCCTGATTTTCAAAACGAGTCCTGGTGCTCATCCTTTGATATGAAAATAAGTTTTCATTCACATGCAAATTAAACTCATTTTCCCACGAATGGTTGAGCACCAGGCCTTGTTTTGAAAAAGAGGCCAAGCGTAATTGGGAAATGTGCTATTGGCCAGACTGGGCTGAATAATGAAATACAACGTCAGAGGGTAAGAGGTCATCAACACGGGCTCAAGTGTTTTAAGAGAAATTAGCGGAAAATACTAAGGGCTGAAACTTAAAACCGCGGAACTTCATTTTTGTCTAAGGCATTTTCCTATTTCCAGAGGTTTTATGGAGAAAATTAATTTTCGAAAATTTTTAGGAGTACCAAGTTTTTGGAGGTTGTTCTGTAAAAGAAAAGTGGCAAGGAAAATGACCCCTGGAAGCAACAGAATAAGAAATCAACCTTGCAAACTACTCAAAAATCGGTTTTCGGCGGCAAAACCTAGCGCATACCCATACATTATTCAGCTCTTTCCATAAAGAGTTCCTGGAGCTGAAGTTTCGATCATGGGCTTTTCATCAGAGTGCAGTGAACAGAGGAATTGTGGGTTATTGAGCAATTTGTACAGATAATGATATCATTTAGAAAAGGTGACAATAGTGGAGTTAGGTAAATTGTCATTCCGCAAGCTTCTTCAAAGTAAGATGAAAGCATACTTGAAAACAGCCTCTCACCTTTGCATTCTGGATGAATTTGGAAATAACAACAGGGTGTTCACTGGATACAGACTGAGCATTGCCAAGGTACGTAACCATTTCATCATCAGAAAACGCAACATTCATGGCAGCACCACTGAGCACGTACGATGGTCGCACAAGACAGGGATACCCAACTGTGGCACAGAACTTTTTGGCATCCTGCATTACAAAGGTTTTTGAAAAAGAGTGTTAGGGACTGTTCTCTTTTTTAAATCGATATAACTTGATCCAATGACAGAATGCTTTCAACTTTACTGATCCCTGCACAAGGCAGGACACTTGTTAGAGACGAACCCAGGACATGGCTTGACTTGCCAAAAAGTCTCCAGCTGCCTGGCTGGTGCAGCATCCCACATGAAAATTGGTCAGTCTGTGGTTCGAATTCTCACAAGTTTATTCTTTTTACCACAAATGTGAACACAAGTTTTTGAACAGCTGTGCTGTACCACACTGCTGCCATAAATTACCTACATGTATATTCTAGCTATAGCATGTGAAAACATTCAGCGTTTATGAGCTGCCATTTTCATCACCATACGTAACAATCAAAACCCTTGCTGAACTTAGACATATATTTTCATAAATCAGTTTCACAAACAAAGCTGATTGAATAAGTTGTTGAGTATTGCAAGCAACTCTCCCTTCTCAATAAATACTCCTTGCAATACTCGAAAGGTTGATCTACTAACACACATACCTCTAAAGTTGTAAGAACTTTCCAGTGTGGTTGAAGAATTCCAATATTGTCCAACATTCTGGAAAACTTGTAACGATTCTCAGCATTGTCAATCATCTCAGGAGAAGTGCCTAGGATGCGAACCTACCCAACAAATGATGCAACAACATTACAGTTGCAAAGGTTAAAGTTTGGACAAAACCATCTGGTCAGTGAGTTGGTGTCAATGCACACTTAAGATGAATTCTTAGGGAACTGAATATTACTTCACCTGTCCGAGCCTTGTAGCCCCAAAACGGACTGACTGAATTTATTGATTTATTAACCAATGGATAGCATTATAAAGGACTGCCTGACTGATTGGCTGATTGATTAACACCTACCTGTTGCCTGTGAAGCTGCATTGCCATGTTGTTTGGTAACTGTCCTCCCATACTTAAGATGATACCCTCTGGATTTTCTTTTTCATAAATATCCATAACAACCTAACATAACATGCAGATACTTGGTAAGAAAACCATTTAAGAAAATGGTTTGAGTTCAAAGCAATACATTTGGAAAAACTTGGAAAAAGTTTAGCTTTGAGCCCAGTGCAACACTCACCTCAAAGGAGATTTCATCAAAGTACAGTCGCTCACATTCATCATAATCTGTACTGACAGTTTCTGGATTATAGTTCAACATTATGGTCTTTTTCTTCAACTAAAAATAAAAAACCTTATGACTAAGTAAAATGGTATTACTCAGGCAAGAAATTTGAAGATAGAAGTTCTTAAATAACTACCACAGTTTACTTACCTTTCTGAGTTCTCTGATACAGCCCACAGCACACCAATCAAATTCCACACTGCTGCCAATCCTGTACACCCCAGAACCAATCACCATACAGGCCCCACTGTCAAAGTCGATGTCATCTTCACATGCATTGTAAGTCAGATACAGGTAGTTTGTAAAAGCTGGGTACTCTGCAGCCACAGTGTCAATTTGCTTTACAAATGGGGTAAGACCATACTGCTGACGCACTTTTCGAACAGCAAGTTCAGTGCTAAAAGTAGAGAAATAACTTTTCATTCCCAATGCTCGCTAAATTTCACTAATGATGGTGCTGGCTTAGGTTTAGCAATGTTACAAATCAATAATGGTTGGGTGAAGTTCACAGCTTCTCTCTTTTTTTTTAGCATTCTCACATGAACCAGTAACTGAATTTTAAGGTTGCCATTCAACAAAAATAAATTCTGCTAACCATGATACTGACCCACCTAAAAACTGTGGGGAAACTGAAAGACCTAAACCTAACAAACCACACCTGAATCATCTTAACTGACTACAGGTGGTGAGGTTAGATTTGAAAATCTTGCACAATGATGACGAGAAGGATATCAAATGTTCCACAGTTACAAGAACCTACTTGTGAATACACTTTGCAATTTGCTTATCAGAGAATCCCAGTTGTTTAGCTCCAAGTAAATCCCTGTAGGAAACTTCAGCTGCCTGTAAAGGTGCAAATGCAAATACTATCCAAAAGTATTCATACTAAAAAAAAAAAGCCTTCTACTTGATTCTTACAACACAGCTTTTCCTTGATTTGTTAAGAAGTATGTGTCATAGGTCGAGTTCAGAGAAAATTGGAGTTACCACTCGTAACAAAACAGAGAAATGGCTTTAAGTTAGGGTCAACTGGGGTTCTCCAGGACTGACCAAGAATGAGTCAAGATGAGGGGTTGTTGGCAAGGTTTGGCTTTGGTGTTATGGTTCATAACAACAACAACAAAAGCAAGCTGCTAGGACAATCTCAAGCTCCATTCAACAAAAGATTTATGAAGAATACTCCAAAAAAGGCTTTTTTCCTGCAAATTTTGGTTTCAAAGTTGAGAAAACCATGAACACCTGAGCTTTTCTGGTAATGTTTCTGGCCATATAATGAATCCCAATGAAGATTGTGACATGACAGCAACCTCTGCTTCAAGATGATTCCTAAGTATTGCACTGAGCAAGACTAATGCCAGTACAGGCATAAATGGGGTAAGATTAGCCTATCATACTGTATCTCTTAAACAAGCATGGTGATCTATCTTTTTTATTGTATTTTTCAAAAAAAAAGACACTGATAGGGAACACTTAAGGAAAACCAAAAAAAGTCTTCAGTAATTTTTTCTGAGGAATCACTTAAGTCCACTTTCCAGAAATATTTCTGATGTTGAGGATATTCTGAGTGTCAAGGTAACAGTACTAACAGTTGCGTGGTAGTTGCATTTCTGATTATCATTTACATTCTTTTGTTATTATTCAGGAATTCTGCGTCACATATTATGTTAGTGCTTCAAATAATCACGTGTTTAAGTTGTTTAATATGATCAGACTTCTCACCCAAGCTTGCTTTTAAGGCACCACTTACATCAGCTTGAATTGACACTTCTAAAGCAATTTTAACCCAGCAGGTTTACTTCATATGATTAGTTAATTTTGATTTAGTTATAATAGGCATGTTTAGCTCGTATACATTTCTCAAAGATGAGCTATTAGTGCAAGACATTACCATGACTGAAGCAAGATCACTTTCTAACTATCTCTCTCCTTCAAAGGCAGTTCATTGGTTAATAAAAATGTTCATAACAAGTTGCGTTTAATTTGTTGTGTACTGCTTCATCTCTCTACCTTCTCTCTGTGCATTAAGGGTGCAGACGTTGATGACTGTTGACCAGGCTACAGGGAGCATAAACCACCAATAAAAATTATCAATAAAATAGCACGCAAATATGCGACATAAAACAATATCATTGGAAGAAACTCTATACATATCAATAAACAAAATTATTCATAGTGTCCTAGAATTCACACAGCTACTATCATTTAAGGAAACACTAAAATAAACAAAATTAAGAAATTTATTTATTTCTGTCAACTAGACGCATTTCAGTGCCTTAAAAAACTCTGATTAATTTTTCAATCACACCAACAAAAGTCTTTTACAATTTGATTTGTTTTTATGTTGTCTACCTCACAACAGTAACTGATATAACATTGACTCAAAAAGGGAAGCTAATTTATAGTGGGCAGGAAAATGCCCAAAGAAATTGTTCTTACCTCAGTCTTTTCTCTATAGTTTTTCAGCATTAGAGCATAATCCATTATGCATTTCATGCGACTCAAAAACCACTTGTCAATCTTGGTCAGCTCATACAACTTATCTATGGTGTAACCCTCCTTGTATGCAGCGGCAAGCACATGAATACGCTGATCAGAAGGTTGCTTCAATTCCTGTAGTGAAAATCAAAATTGTTAGACAAATAAACAAAAGAACAGATTTGAACAAACACTGTTTGTAACCCTTAAACTCCCAAGGGTGACAGGCACATACATGTAAATCCCACAAACTCTTTAATACACAGTCAAGAATCTACATAAGGATTGTGACTGATGCACAGTCAAGAATGTAGGTAATGAGGATTATGAATGAAACATAGTAAAAGGAACTTACTTCATCAGATGCTGTATGACCATGAGAATCAAAACCCACGTTTGCCTCATTCACCATCCTTAGGGCTTTCTGAAGGGCTTCTTCAAACTGTCGTCCGATAGCCATTACTTCTCCAACACTTTTCATTGAGCTTCCAATCTACACATTGAAAAGTTACTTAGGAATAATTTTAATTCACAAGGGCTTAAGATGTGCACAAAATTATCTCCACAATGTGAATTTCTAGGGAAAAAGTGCTGGCCCGAGGCAGTGTTTATGTAAAAATTGCTCACAGTAGGGTAGGTGATTCTTACCTTTGTATTGACCTTGCTGAACTTGCTCAAGTCCCATCTTGGAATTTTAACAACAACATAATCCAGGCTAGGCTCAAAGCAAGCTGTTGTAGAGTTGGTGACTGAGTTTCTCAACACTGGTAAGGGTCTTCCCAGAGCCAACTTTGCTGCCACATATGCCAGGGGATAGCCCGTGGCCTTTGATGCAAGAGCTGAACTTCGAGAGAGCCTTGCATTTACCTCAATGATGAAATACTAGTAATCAAAACAAAAAAAATTAAAAAAAAAAAGAAAAGGTAAAATTCCCATTCATTTTTGAGTTCAGTTTATTATGGAGAAAAAAACTGTTCTCTTTTTCTTATCATTTTCATGCTAGTTTTGTACCAAGCCTTATTTGCACCTTAATTCCGACAAAAAAAAGTCATTAAATATAGCAATTACAGGACAGATTAAAGCAACTTGCTGAAAGGGATCCAATGCATAGGACTGGGTTGGAGGAGAGTTAAAGTAATAGCACACATTAAGTTCATATTGGGAACAAATACAAACCTCTTTAGATTCTGGATTAAGAGCGTACTGTATGTTACATTCTCCCACAACTCCAAGATGTCTGATGACCTTGACAGCACAGGTGCGCAGCATGTTGTATTCTGAATTGGTGAGGGTCTGACTTGGAGCAACAACAATGGACTCTCCAGTGTGGATACCCAGTGGATCAACATTCTCCATGTTACAAACCTAAAAGTGGACAGTGATGGGTTGGTAAAAAAATTAACTCTGCGCTTGTACCAAGTACCCTATCCAGCCAGAGCTTGTCCTGGTTTCTACAGCATAAGGTAATAACGAGTACTGCTCCTTCCTTGGTCCAATTACAGGTTACCTCCCACCCTTGGTGCTTTTTCAGGTTTCCTAGTCAGTTTGCTGATACTCATTCATACTCCAGAGCTGGGAGAGGTAGTGTGAGAGTAAAGTGTCTTTTCCAAGAACACAACACCATAAACTAAACATGACTCAAATGCAGTGTCCACCTCCATAACTATTTCAACAAAGCATCCAACTACTATGTATATCACACACTTTTTTTGTTTTTAGAGCAATTATACCATCACATTTTTAACCCACTGTACTGTACTCACTGTGATGCAGTTGTCAAAAGCATCTCTGACAACCTCGTATTCAATTTCCTTCCAGCCTTTCAATGATTTGTCCAGGTTCACTTGCTTGGTATGGGCAAAGGTTCCATTGACAAGGGAAACCAGTTCTTCTCTGTTCTGAGCAAATCCTGACCCCAGACCACCCAGTGCAAATGCTGCTCGCACTAACACAGGATACCCAAGCCTTTCTGCAGCAGCAATGGCCTAGACACAGATTTTGAGGGCATTCATTCATAAAAAATAATTTAAAGGGAAGAAAAATTGCATAAGGAGGTTGACCTGAATATTCTGCTAAGACTGAAAAAGGACAAGTGCAAGTCACAGGAAATAAGCAAATTTATCAAGGTTAAAAAAACTTCCATCTATCTAGGCCAATATAGGATATCGTTAATAATTATTTATACCTGCCACATTTTTAATTGCCTGACTATAGGAATAGACGTAATTCTTGTCAAAACTATTTTTGTAACATCACAACAATAGATGGTAGTTTTTACATTTGACTTGTAGAAGTCCCATAGTGCCAACAAAAAACAGCATTTTTTGTCATGCAACATGAAACAATTGTATTAAAGCATGAGTTAGGAAGACTTTGGTATTCACCACTGCCTTCTTGCAACACATACTAACCTGCTCAACAGAATACACTGCTTCACTTGGTGCAACTCTTTCCCCAATTTCTGCTAGTTTCCCAGCAAACATCTTCCTGTCTTCAGTACAAACTATGGAACTAATTGGAGTCCCTAATGCTTGGACACCATACTTCTCCAGTACACCACTTGCTTGAAGCTCAATGCCACAGTTCAGAGCAGTTTGACCTCCAAATGACAACAGGATACCATCTGGGTGTTCACTTTGAATGACCTATGTTGCAAATCAAAAAGAAAAAAGCAAAAGAAATATTCTTTTTAACTGACTATTGTCAATGTTGCCTTGAGACAATACAGTTAAAAAAAAAAAAAAATTAACTATTCCAATTACAAAAATGTCCGCTGAGTTACCTGAGTGACATAGTTGGCTGTTATAGGAAGAAAATAGACTTTGTCTGCAAGGCCTTTCGACGTCTGCACTGTAGCAATGTTTGGATTTACCAAAACAGTTTGGATACCTTCCTCTTTAAGAGCTTTAATAGCCTGCAGATAGTTGAGAATATGATCTATAAGCTGCATACCACTAAAGATATTAAATGACATCAATATAAAAGCACTGCAATACCTGCCAGGTATTTTTGAGGCAACTTTTACTTTATTACTGGTATTTCCAAAGTATGTCAGTTAGGGCTGCAAAACCCTACATTTTTCCACAAGGTATAAACAACAGTATTGTTTTGTTATACATTTTTGTTATCCACTATGGACAGTTCTAAGGTATAAACAACAGTACTGTTTTGTTATACATTTTTGTTATCCACTATGGACAGTTCTAAGGTATAAACAACAGTACTGTTTTGTTATACATTTTTGTTATCCACTACGGACAGTTCTAAGTTCCAAGAATAACCAGCATCATATCTGTTCTCACAGGTAATACTGCTGAGTCATTCATTAAGATCATGAAAAGAGAGGAAATCATCACTAACCGACGAAGCTCTGATCTTTAAACAAAAACTCCTTATCAGTACCAAAAGAAAAGTGTAAATAACAATATGGAGAAAATGGATACCTT